GTCTTCATGTCCTTCCACTTCCATTCCTGGCCTCCTACTGCCAAGGCTTCAAGAAAATAAAAAAGACAGAGAACTGAGGTTCTCTTCAAGGTCAACAGCCAGCGATCCATCCCCATCTCAGTGTCTGCATTGCAGCATTAATGACTATGACCTCTACAAGAGGATCACTGTCCTGGGGTAAAGTCACCTAGCGACCACTGACAACTGGAAGATGTGAGCCTTTGCCATGATGCCCAAAGCTCTGTCAGCTAATCCTGGGGGCTAGCTTTCTTCCAGGGATTCTGACTTGGTTAGTCTGGAGTGGTATTCAGAATCCATCACTTTAAACAAGCTCCCAGATAATTCCCAGACACAGTCGGTTAATTCACTTGCTCGCTGAATCTATGTGCATTCAACAAAATAGCAAGGCATTACACAGATATATTTTCAGCCTATGTGATGCTTCCATCACAGAGAAAATACAACCATAAATGTCATAAAAGAAATTATAAATTGTGGTAAGTGATGCTTTATGTTCTAGACTAACCAAATCTGACCTAAGCCACAGCTGATTGGAAAAAGTTTCCTCCAGAGATGTTTATAGTCTCTCTGCCTCCCTCTTTCTTTTTTCTTCTTTTTTTCTTTTCCTTTTCTTCTTTTTGCTTTCTTATCTACCTGGTCCACTTCTGTGGGTCTGTTAAAAGGAACACATCACCCACTAGACACTGCTGCAACCCATCTTCCTAGTCAACACATTTATGAGATGCACAATGATGCTGGGAAAAAGCAGTGAAAATTTAATCTTTCTTATACTCTTACCTAGCAAGGTGACCTGACAAGTCATAGGTTTTCTGGATGCCTATTCCTTAGGTTTTTACTGACTTAAACTGGATGACTTCTGAGGGTTCCTTCCTCTAGCCCTGCAACTGCATTATTTTCAAGTCAAGTGGAGGTCAAGATTTTAGATAAATGAAAAAGAGTTGAAAGGAGCCATAACAATCTTCTAGTCCCACTCCCTTACTTTTAAACAGGAGGGGACAGAGGGCATGGTCAGACAGATCCAAATTCAAATCCCACCGTCTGTCTGTTATATGTATTCTTGGCAAAATTACATAAATTTTGTGTCAGTTTATACTCAGCAAGCTGGCTTAAAACTCAACATTCAAAAAACGAAAATCATGGGATCCGGTCCCATCACTTCATGGCAAATTGATGGGGAAACAATGGAAACAATGACAGAGTTAATTTTCCTGGGCTCCAAAATCACTTGTGGATGGTAACTGCAGTCATGAAATTAAAAGACACTTCCTCCTTGGAAGAAAAGCTATGACAAATGTAGACAGCATATTGAAAAGCAGAGACATCACTTTGCCTACAAAGGTTTGTATAGTCAAAGCTATGGTTTTTCCAATAGTCATGTATGGATGTGAGAGCTGGACAATAAAAATGACCATGTGCCAAAGAATTGATGCTTTTGAACTGTGGTGCTGGAGAAGACTCTTGAGAGCCCCTTGGACTACAAGAAGATCAAACCAGTCAATCCTACAGGAAACCATCCCTGAATATTCATTGAAAGGACTGATGCTGAAGCTGAAGCTCCAATACTTGGGCCATCTGATGCAAAGAGTTGACGTATTGGAAAAGACCCTAATGCTGGGAAAGACTGAAGGCAGGAGGAGAAGGGGATGACAGAGGATGAGATGGCTGGATGGCATCACCAACTCAATGGACATGAGTCTGAGCAAACTCCAGGAGATGGTGAAGGACAGGGAAGCCTGGTGTGCTGCAGTCCATGGTGTTGCAAAGAGTTGGACATGACTGAGTGACTGAAAAACAACAAAAATTCAACAGCATAGAGGCACTGACTATATTAACCACTTAGAATTTCAATAAAGTTAATATTAGAATTCACTTAGAATTAAATGAAATAATATATTCAAAGTGCTTAAAACAGTACCTGGCATAGAGTCGAAAACACAACAAAAGGGCCTTTATTTACAACTGATTTCTATCTAATTATTATCTCTTCTTTCACCTTCCTGAAAACTATTGTTTTACACTGGATCCCTGAATTGACTCTTTTATTTACTATTTTAATTTTTTTTTTTATTCTTGATTCTCATTTTTAAAAAGTATGCTTTGGCTGCCTTTTCCCATATCCCTCTACTGAACATATATGCATAACCTGCAGGCATAGGAGCATGTCTAACACATTATTGGGGATACAGGGGTATATTATAAATGTCAGTATGGCAGCATTTTCTCATTCTACCAACATTTTGAGAAATTAAGGGGAGCATTTTCTCCACATACCTACCTTACCATTCTCAAAAACAAAAATAAAACCCAAAAATGTTTTCCATAGAAATAAACATCACCCACAGAGGCCACATCAAGCAGACTGGGCCTGTCCTTCCTAGAGCAGATAAAAGACTAAATTGATGGCTTTGGACTGTGGTAACAGGTGCAGTTCCTATGGCTGGAACTGGGCTGAGATGAGAAGTATTGTGACAAGTGGGTAGAGGCGCAGCAGGAAATTCAGCAAGGATAGAGATGCCTGGTTGGGGTATGGGCCTGGGAACTGTAAGGGAAGAGTGAGAAGTAGGTGGTATAACAAACTCATTGCTGGCTTTCAACTTGTAAAATTAAGAGATAGCAGTGACATCTAGTAAAATACATGCTGCTAAGTTCTCATTTATTTTTAAACTAGTGTAAAAGAAAGCAACATTTGCCAAACACATCTTATTTCTATGAATGTTGTTCAGTTAATTGAGTTTTCCTTCATAGGGTAAAAATAGTAGGGGTTTTGTTTGTTTGTGTTTAGCTCTCTTTGCCTAAGACATCACACTGGATGATAACTTCAGCCTCCAGCATAGGAATCCTGAGGTCCCCAAACAAGAAATTTCCTCAGGGGCAGCCCTGCAGCTTCTGTGTTCATCCCCCGGCTCCCTTGACATTGCTCAGGAAAGAGTAGTTAGGTAATTGTCTGTCTGGTGCCAGAAAACTGCTATGCAACTCTATGCACACGGCTATTTCGCAAAGCACCTGCTCCTTTATTCCAATGCTGCCTCTCCATGAAACGCACTTGACAGAAAGGAACAGTAGCTGAAGAGAAACCTCAGCCCAAGGTGCATTTCAAGGGCTAGCAAAGCTGCGTCCCCAAGAGTCGATAGCCCCAGTGTCAACAATCTCTAAAGCAGGAGTCTAAAGCAAAAGAGAGTTATTTCCACACATGGTAGTGACTTTGATCTCAGTATAAACCAAGCATTTTTGAGAAGGCCTTTCAAAATCTTCCCACATCAGAGGATTTCCTTTGCACGAAGTTTTATGTCAGTCAGGAGAACCCTCTACTTACTAAGAAAGCAACAAAGCAAATATATCATAAAACAGCACAGCAGTGACCATCAGGCATCAGCAACTGCAATCCACACACAGGGAGAAAGCGTCGCCAGCCTAGGTCTGCAAAGGTGGTCATGGTCCAAGGAAATAAATCCCTTTATTCAGAGGGGAGAAGCAGGTGGATGGAAATTCACCATCCCTACGTGAGAAGGGAAAATGACTGTTGGGCTTAGCTCACCAGAGTGAACCTCTGGAGAAGGAAATGGCAACTCACTCCAGTATTCTTGCCTGGAGAATCCCAGGCACAGAGGAGCCCGGTGGACCCGAGTCCAGGGGGTCGCGAATAGTCAGACATGACTGAACTAAGCGCACACACACCAGAGTGAAAGGAAACAACCTGCACACCAGTGATTGCTGTACAGGCTGGTGAACCCACACCGAGACACCGCTGCAACAAAAGTCAGGCCTGCCACTGTTCAGAAGCTAGAAAAGCAGCTGAGAACTGAACCAGTGAAAGTGAAAGGCACTCAGTCGGGTCTGACTCTTTGCAACCCCATGGACTATTGTCTGCCGGGCTCCTCTGTCCATGGGGATTCTCCAGGCAAGAATACTGGAGTGGGTAGCTGATCCCTTCTCTGGGTGATCTTCCTGACCCAGGGATTGAACCCAGGTCTCCTGCATTGCAGGCGGATTCTTTAACGTCTGAGACACCCACTTAACCAAAGAGGTGGTGAAATGAGTGATAAAAGCATAGGCTCTGGTGCAAGCCAGACTGGGTTGAAATCCTGCTCCACCATTTGCCAGCTATGTGACCTAAGGCAGGTTACTTCCTGTCTAACTTAGGTATTAGTAAAATGAAAACAATATTAGTAGCTACCTCATTGTATTTTTTCTTGCCCATGTCTCTATAATTAATAGTAATCACAGCATTATGTACAGAGGGGAAAAAACACTTTCTAAAACCTCTTTATCCTCAAAGATTCTTAACATAAATTTAACTATATTAGAGTGATTCTACTAGTTTAGATGGCTCCCTTTAAGGTCACTTAAAGAAAACTACTGTAAGTATTATAACTTATTATACTTCACTACTTGTTTTAGAGCATAAGGCAATGGAACCAATGTGATAATGAAAATGATTATCATACTGCTTTTTGCCAATTTGGGATCTTTTTTCAAGGAAGCAATAGGGAAATATATGTAAATTTTAGAAGAAAAGGAGATGGGGGGGGAGCTTAGAACTGCCACATCTATGTCAATACATTTAAAGAAACTGAGCTATATTTCTCCTGATCTTGATTATGTCCAATAATTCATTTTGAAAACAGTAATGAAGGAAAAACACTTTAGCTTAACTGAGTCACACTTGCTATAGAGTATATCAGACATTAGAATTTGACACAGAATTACATCTTCCTTTATTTTCCATTTTGCCTACATTTTGTTTTTCCCTTCAACAAAAGTAACATAGATACAATTTTTTAAAAATTTCTTTTCAAATATATTTTAAAAACATAATCTGGACAGTGCAAGGCTTCTATCAGGTCTCCCACCCAACAAACACAGACATGCAATCATTGTAAGCTGCTGCTGTGTACTCTTGCAGAGTTTTTTCCTGCACATATATAACACATATATTAATAATCAGCACATTTTTAAATAGGAAGAATTCCACCACTTACCAAAATAAGCCCTGATATTAGTGAGGAAGTTCCTGTTAGGGCCACGTAGAACTTCGGTGTTAATGTGTTCAAAAACATGCTCACTGAAAAATAAGAAAGAGGGAGAAGAACAGGGAATGCATGAGTATATCATCAGTAAAACCAACTCATTTTTCTTTCTGGTTAAATCATTTGTTTCTGATGACAAGAGTTATTAGAATCATAGCCAAGTGCCATTAAAATGCTTCAGCATCACACAGGCTCTGAATACTAGGTTCAAGTTGTATATCCTAAAAGAAAACAACTACATACAAGAAAGAAAGAGCAGTTTTGAAAACTATCGGTGTGAATAATTTTCATGAATTTATAGCCACTGAAGGGTCAAATCAAAGCTGGTTACTAAACTGTTAAGAAGAATGAAAGGTGCCCTAATATAAAACATATCTGATGTGTGGGACCCACACATCAAGTGGTAGTTCAACCTTAAAACAAACAAAAATTAACTATATTAAAGATTTATTAAAGATCCTAATACTATGATCACCCCTGAAAAAGAAATGTTAGCATATATTACTACAGTTTTTTCAACTAACTTATAAAGTTGTTAGACTTCTCATCAAAGTAATTGGATTCAGTGGAGAAAAGATGAAAACTAAACCAATAAAATTGAAAGTACAGTGGTAAGACTAGCTCCTGCCACTCTGCTCAAATCAATACTACAGTAGATCTGGTTGCCCATTAAGTAAGGTCACTTACACATTTTATAAGTATATTTTAAGTCATTATTTATACCTAGAAAAGACACAAAACTTTGCAAACCAAATAACAATTGACCTAAACGGTTTTTTGCTTGCATATTCACATTTCTTAACTGAAGTGTTTGTGGAAGGGGATCATATCCAGTCCTGTTTCAATGAAGAACATTGTAAGTAGGACTTTTATGTCATTAGGAGAAAAGACTCTGGCATTTGTCCCGAGCTCAGCCCAGAAAGCAAAGTCACCAACATGAACAGAGATCCCATGCTCACTCATTCAACAAACGCTTCTCTCTGTTTATGAATGAGACTGTGGACAAAGAATGGAAGCATGAATCAGACATAGCACTCGCCCTCTAGCAGGCCAAAGTCTAGCTGTGAACAGACAAGTAAACAAACAATCACCAGACGGTTTTGATAAGGGCATAGAAGGGTCCTGTGCACAGAATTTTATGAAAACACCTAAAAGGCATGCATCTCAGTCTGGGGGGTCAGGAGGACGTCCAGGAGAGAAAGCAGGAGTTAACCACACCAAAGTGGGCAGGAGGAAGAAAGGAGGGCCATGTGAGCGAAGGACAGGGCCTGCTTTGAGGCCCTGAGGAAAGAGCACAGCCTTCCCAGATATTTGTGGACCTTCCCAAAGGCAGAGATGTAGAAGGATGCACTGATTCCATCTTTCCTGACAATGGGCCTGGTCTCAGCAAACCCTCCTCCCCCAACACCCGCTTTAATCAAACCGGTTTGAGGGACTCGTGGTCTATCATTTGCCATCACAAATCTGCACTAACAAAGCGCTCAGTCAAAAGCCACAACGTGACTAAGTGGCCTCTTTCAGGGAGGCAGAGGGAGGCACGGAAGGAGGGATGGGCCTGGGGCTGTAAGACAAAATAGGTACAGTTGAAATGTGGTTCTGCACTTGGCCATTAAAAAAAACAAAACTGTGGTTTGTCACTTCTACATAACAGTCTAAATAGAAGGAGGCAGATTTCTAAAAAGATTAAAAAAAAATCAAACAATTCTAGTTACAAACCTAAAGCTTGCAACTGACAGTCTGATTCTGAAGTGCCTAAAATTCTTAAAATTCCCCTCCTCACACACTATGAATGATTCAACATTTCCTTTCTTTTTTTTAAGTCACCAAAATAGACCATTCACTTTGTTATTCTGTAATTATGAACATTCATATCTGTACCATACACTTTTCAGTAAGTTTCTGGGGACATAGAATTCAACGAAATCCATTTCTAAAAGAAAGAGGGAAAGCACTGCCTGAATTGTGAAGTACTTTGGTAGTCCAGCTAAAAGCATAAAGCAATGGAGAGAAAAAGATTGGCTACTGAAAAATTACTGATCCACTAGAGATAAAAGATTGAAGAACCAACTGACAAGTGAAAAAATTATGTGTTTTTAAAAGAGAGAAAAATAAACATTCTATACATTCAGTTTTACTTAAAATTATATAGCAACCATCAGAAACAATTAAAACATGCTTCTCTACTACATCCAGTTATATACACCAGAGCTGGGAGAGAGAAGGCGGGTACTAAAAGAAATAGACAAATACAGAATGAGAGAAGTAGAGATAGAAGCATTTATAGAGAGTGGAAGGTGTTCATTTAATAACCTACTAATTTTATAGTCTAACTAGATATTCTGGGTAACATAATTAAGACATGGCATTTCGCAATTCTGGGCACAAATATCAACAGTTAGTACTTGCCATTTGAATTTATCTATGTATTTAAAGTTTACAATAGCCGTTTCACAGACTGGAGAACTCAATGCTCACTTCAACTCTGTGAGGGCAATATTATCATTCATCTTATTTCACAGCTGGTGGTTGGGCAAAGCCCTAACACAGTTATCCAGCCCCCAGAGCTCAGGCTCATGTTATCAAGGGTGCACATGAGGACACCGCTGAGAAGCATGGAGGAACAAAATAGCAAAAGGAAAGCAGCAGTCGTGCATCTGAAAGGGAGAGGAAGCTCTAAAGGAGAGATACCAAAAGATGGATGATTTTACTGCTATTCCTCGGGATGGGGGGATTGGAGGGGGTTCAGGGGGTGGCGGGAGAAGGCAGGATGCCACCCTGAAAGGAAGCGTCTAGTTAAATATTCCTCCGTTAAATGAGAGCCGCGCATTGCAAACCAGACTGTCTTAAACCTAAGAATACCTTGCCTACTTTCATCAGAGTCACTGGAAATTATTTTTGAAAATATGAGGGAGGACCTGCTTAAATACCTAAAAATTAGACAGAAAACCTTGGGGAGTATAGTTTGAAACATAAACTGGATATTTCCTGACATCTATAGACATAGGAATACTATCTCCATAGCTGCTGGGACTCGGGCAAAACAAATGGTAAAGACTAATCTAGCTTTGGTAAGAATCAACTCATAAAATTAAAAACTTAGTAAGTCAGAAGGCTTTTCACCTGACCTTGCTGGACACACTAACAGGTCACTACTCAAAGAATATTGCATCAATTATTCAAGGGTGGCCAGCCTTAGGGACTGTTTCTTCAGGCATTCTGAAGATGCTGAACTTCAGTCGCGTCTGACTCTTAGTGATCCCATGGATGTAGTCCACCAGGTTCCTCTGTCCATGGGGATTCTCCAGGCAAGAATACCAGAGTGGGTTGCCTTGCCCTTCTCCAGGGGATCTTCCCAACCCAGGGACCAAACCCAGGTCTCCCGCATTGCAGGCAGACTCTACCATCTGAGACACCAGGGAAGTCAAAACTTGGCACAGTCTGGAATTAAGTACAAGTCTGAGAAGAAACTAGGTAGGAGGGGTGGGTAAATGAATTGAAAACTCAGTGACCTCTCTGGATCACAGAAGAGAGGAGGTAAGAAGATAATGCAACATGTCAACTGTGGAAAGTCAAGAATCACCCCTGTGAGCTGGGAACTAGAATACCAGAGGGCTTACTCAGGAGTCACGTGGGCTGGCCCTGTGAGGTCCTGTCTGTGAGGAGCCAGCCCTGTTTCTGGCCCTGGTGACAGCAAGAGTCTTCCTGCATATTCTTCAGAGCACAAACAATTCCCAAATTACACTCCTGGAGAACACCCTCAACAGGTAATGCTTAAAGAGTGTTTGACACCTTAAGATATATTCTACTTTATACAAGCCCTTGAACGAACAGGTTAAAGCAGCATCAAAGACTAGGAGGTCCTGACTAGACAGAACTGAATATGCAGTGTGATAAAATCTACAACACCCAAAAACATGGGTCTGCTTTGTCCCTTGTTCCATTTAATGCCTTGCTAAAATAGGGCATGTGAAGTAGAAAGAATTCGAAAGTTATGACAATCAGCAATCACTGAAAAGATTAGGACTAAAGTCCCTAGGAAGAAAGGTTAAAGAAACTAAATCTACTTAAGCTGTATTGGGGGAACAAAGAGAGAGAGAGATTTTGTGTAAAAGTTTTACGCCTGGGAAAGAGAGAGGGGTCAGGAGACTTGGTCTCTGAACTGAACCCAGCAGCAGTGGTAGCCCTGGGAAATTCTGACACCCTCCCAGAGCTGCTCGGAGGCTCAGACTGAAACAGGCCTTTCCTCACCCCTCACAACCAGTTCATACTTGCCGAGTGTCACCCTGGGCAGGGTGCTGGGGATAGATCAAGGAGCAGAGCCCTTCCAAGGACTCACAATCCAAGGGGTGAGAGAGGTAAGTAAACCACTAAGAGAACACACGAGGGAGTTAGGAGAACACACAGCACTCACAGGGATTAGGAGATCAAGAGAAATGTCTGCCAAATGTAAGCATCCCATCTGAGACTTGTAGGATGAATCAAGAGTTACCCAGGTGAGATTACTTATGGCTGTATTGGCTATTCTCAGAGACAAATGAAAATGAGTTCAGATTGTACTTCTCAAAATTAAAGGTGTTTACCACTCTTTGGTATTCTCCAAAATCATTTATCAAGGACTTCTCTGTAGTGACTTTATGCAGGGAGTAGATAAAAGAATACTGAAGAAATAGGGAACTCTGAATTCTTACTTTTCTTAGAAAATAAATATAAGTGAAATTTATTTCAAAAGTTGAAAATCTATGATTCTGGAACTGTTTCATTATCTCCAACATAAGAATACTATGTGTCTTACAGGGTTGTTGTGAGAACTCAATGTGATAGTTTAGATAAATTGCCTAACACAGTAGATGTCATCAAATAATATTATTGTTGTTTTTTATATTACTCTTCCTTTTGTGATTGGGCATCTTCTATTACTATGGCATAGAAAGCAGAGGAGACTAAGCTGAACGTATAAGTAACAGTAGGAATAGTAGTCATCTAGCATTTACTGAGCACCTCCTGTATGCCAAGCACTGTGGTACAGACCACAGCC